AATTTGAAAGCCTTTTGCTCTTCCAGGGAAAACAGATTTCGTTGCGTCATAAAATTTTCCATTTTAAAAATAGCAAAACGTTCGTTCACATCTCGCAGAAAGTGAAAAAAGCACATTCTCTCAACATCTGGAAGGCATAAGGAGTGTATATTTAAAAACTTGCGCAACGGCGCGGAAAATTTGCTTAGCATATCAATTCTAGGACGGACTTATGTAAGAGAACATCAAATAACAGGCAATCAAAGAACAGGATAGTACATAGGCGAAGAAAAAAGGTGAAAATTACCATACTCACATTATCGTAAAACCACTTGATGTCTGGCTGAGGAGATGCGTCGAGGAAGCATTCGAGCTCAAGTGAGCCGTCATCGTTCTGACGAGCTACAGGCTGCTGTGGAAAATGCGGAGCCTTGCCCTCTGGCATGGTGAGTCCTAAATATGAAAATGGTCAGCGTTACTCCAACGCCACAGACAGAGATCAGATTTCATGGGAAAACGCGGTGCTATTGATGTTACGATCTTCAGAATAACCGGATGTTGAGTACGTAAGCAATGTTCTTGGAATTCGGGCATACCTTGGTAGCGCTAGGTCCCATACCCTATGCATTAGAGCGACAAATTTGGTGTTAGGTTTTTATAGCAACTTCGCTATGAACTTAGGACTATGCAGAAATTCGATATAAAGTTCAGGCGCGCAGTGTAACAGAGGAATATGGCAGGGGATCTGTTTGAAGAGCAAAATAAACAAAGCGAGTACGCTTCAACATCGAAATCAAATCTGTGATAAGCGAGTGCGGTAGAGGGCGTCTTTCTGGAACAACATCTTCTAAAACACAGTCTCAACATATGGAGGTGGGAGGAGTTGAAGTAGCCAGCGCCGCCCGCACATCCAAGAGTGTAATGAGCGCTACACTGAGTGCGAGTTTGCATCTGTTTCACTCCAACTTGATCATAAGCAAGCACAGGGATATCGACGAGGAGATGTGAGAATGCTAAATGGATTCAAAAGAATAAGCAAAAGCTGATGGAGCGATTTCGATTGCGGGACGGAGCCACGCGCGCCAGTCAAGTGTTGACATTTATTGTTTGGATACCGCACCAACTTGAAAGAGTTCTTAGTCTCAAGCCTGAGCATCCGCGATGTACTCGTAAGTGCGATACAGACGCCACTGATACGTTATAAGGCATGGCCCGAACGACGGGCAACTGGTATCGAGAGATCAGACTGTTGCTGTTGCTCACAACAGAGCATTATAAAGCCAGATGAGTGGGGAGGGACGCGACCAGTGATGGGTGAACGTAGCAAAAGAATGTTTCCGAGCAACAGTTGGACAAGAACTCTGGAGGGGTGGCACTGACTCGGTTAGCCGCTGTTTCGCCTCAACGTTACAACGTTGTCGCCCACGCTCCATAGCGAATTATAGAAGCAAGCATACGAACAACTGTTGTGTACATTAACCGATAGGAATAAAGCATGCGAAATTCTTACACCGATAGGCTCTCCATATCATCAGTTTCTTATACGAAGCATATGCGTTGATGACTGAGCAGCAAACGACACCAGAAGAGCGATTGCCACACAGATTCACCAGCCATGCTTCTCTTCATTCTACGCTTTCTCATCCAGTGTCCATGCTCACTAAAAACCCAGGTTGTAAGCAGGTGTTAAAAGCGAATATAGCAGTATCACGGTGAGGAAATGCCGTAACCCAACATAGGAATCTTATTCTGATATTCTCCATTAAAGAGTATCTGGGGATGCTGCAAAGTGTCACTTTACAATGGCTAGCACTCCTACACTTGCGCCACCTGTTTCCACGAACGCGCCTTCAGTTCGTGAAACACCGATAGTGCGTTTCGTAAAATTCTACGATACTACTTCCGAAAATGATTCTCAAGAACCCTAAAATCTTACAGATAAGTCCGCTTTTTTGTTAAGG